CGGTTTTGCTTTTCATTGCGGTTTGCGGATTTTCCGTTTTTTGGCATTTGGTTTTCGGTTTCTCGTCAAAAATACTAACAGGTTTTCGGATTTGGTTTCCGATGTGGTTTTCGGTTCTTCCTATTTAGATTTCGGTTTCTCTTCGATATGCGCCTTCGCTGATCGTGATGCGAGTGGAGCCAGGCGTTGAAATACGTGAGGGAGGGGCTTCGAATTTAGGATTCAGTTATTCTGTACTAAGTGGTTTTGTTTAGGTTTATCAGGAAATCTCTTTTCGTCGGTTCTAAGATAATGCTTTATTTCAATGTCTGTTAGGTTCCTGGAAACGCGAGTTTGCACACCTTTTCGTATATTGTGCCAAACAAATTAACAAATGATTGCAATTGGTATAAATAAAATGTTTTTATTGTTTTTTAAAGTGATTTGAGAGTGTTCGGTAATTTTAATGTGGGTGAGAGTGTTCGGTGATTTCTGAAATCTTGGTCGGTATTTCTTTGAGATATGGAAGATCGTTTCTTACAAATTTCGTCTTTGAAGAGACTTTTATTTAGTGTCGCACAAGGAATACCAAACAAATGAAATACATATATATATATAGAGAGAAATGTTCAGATTCAAGCGAAAAACGTCGTATTTTTTTGGAGAGGACTCTTTCCTGCTGTATAATAACGGATATGGTTTTCGATCGTCCAAAGTTGAAGTGACTTTGCTATGAAAATGAGTAACTTTCATTTTCCGTCATGTTATTTTATCGCTTTCTGATGCGCCTCACTTCTCAAAAAGCTTCAATAATCGTGTGTTAAAAGTACGCGAAAGTAATGCCTTTTTGTCATTTACAAGATCATTTCATTCGAATTGACTTCTCCTCAGCACTTTACTCTGACAATGTGTTTTCTAAGCATGCAACATCTCTTTGCACAGATTTCAGCCGGAGTTTGTTTGAATTCTAAAGAATTCCTTTAAAATTTTATACGCATGATGCTAAAGTGGTTATGGTTTAGCACGCGCTCATGGTGAAAACGTACAACTTTTTTTAAGTGAAAGTATCGCTCATTGTTCAATACAGCTCATAAAGAAGATCATTAAGTTCCTTAATTTCCTACCGTTCCCATTAAAGTAATATACCTAAACGCGCAAACGAATTGATAAAGTTACAGGAAATAAAAGGGCTCTACACCATATTTATTTAATTTTTATTTAAATCGAACTAAAGAAAGCGTTTCTGATGCTTAATGTCAAAGGTGTCAAGACGCTTCCAGGACCAAATGATGGGTGAAGGTTTAAAACGACCGTGTTTGGCCATTTAGTGTGAATGGCTTTTAAAAAAGGAAACGTGTGCATGTCTCTCAATTTTTTTTGCGCCTCAGACTTTTACCTCTTTTCCGAAATAAATAAATAAATAATAAATAATCAGTTTATTTAACCCTTTGGTAGTGTTAAACACTAAATTACAAGGGAGACAATAAAATTCACTCGATTCTACACAGAACACAATACACTTGGCATAACAAGAAAAAAAACAACGAAGCGGAATTGAGAACAGAAAACTGTTTCGAACAAAGCTTGTTTTTCGCTTTTTCACCCAGTTGGATCTCTTAAGGCTATTTCTTGACTTGAAGGCATTGAAGGAAAATTTATTTCTTAATTTGAATCGTGTACAATGTTTTGAGACGCTTGCAACGAAATCAACGTTACATTTGTATGCATTTAGTTTCACTTGGTAATTTTTTCTACGTCTAACTTCACAAGGAAATTATTTCAATTTCGTCATACACACACGAAGAAAAAAAAAACACGGAAATCCTTCCTTCAGAGTAATTCGCTTCTCCTAAGGGCATTGCTCCACATGAATCTAATCTCTACCGTGTTTAAATGTTGGCGTTAATTAAAGTTCAGGATATTGTATTTCCATAATAAACATTTACCCAGCAAATTGATTCCTTGATACGCTTACAATTCAAATTTATCGGGTGCATGACATGAAATATAGAAGTGAACGTTTCCACTAAATAAAGTAACGAGAATTTGGTATCCTTGAACGAAAATATGGATTTATGAAATTACATAAAAAGCAATTAAAATAAGTGCACGTCGTTTATTAACTCTTTTTCTGTTTTTTGGTCTAAATATGAATTTTGTTTACATGAATGGCTTTCACTCACTCTGAATTACTTCTTTTGTTTTATCGTATTTTCGTGAAGAGTATGTTTAAGGTCGCCGGTTGGAAAATCTCGATTTTCCTCTTTGTGCCGCACATGCCATTTTTTCACTGCGAAGCGGACAGGGCAGTAACAGTGAAGGCCTCACCAAGTTGAATTACCTCGTCCTTTCTTTTCCAGAAAGTTAAGACTTGCAGGAATTCTGCTCTAAACGCTCTATTCATGACGCCATATATGACGGGATTAATGGAACAACTGCCGAAGCCGAGATATATGTACAACATAAAAACCTCTCGTGGGATGGCGAGTTTGTGTGCTGAGAAAGAATCGACCATGTCAATAATAGCTATGGGTCCCCAACAAAGAATGAAGCCCAGTACAGTTGCGAATAATGCTTTTGTTATTCTCACCTCTTCCACATTCAATCGAAGGGTCACCCCTTTTCTTGTATTGTTCATCTCCTCATTGTGATGTTTGATGGTTTTAAAAATCTTGTAATATGCGAAGGTGATGATTCCAATAGGAACAGAGATGTAGATAACATCCAAATACGCCATGTAGGCCATGTCCAGCTGCGGCGTATCAAAGTCCATAAAACAGATAACTTTACCGTAGTGCACGATAAATGTGGCCCATTGAGCCAACGATGAAAGCCCCGCACCAAAAGCAGCGAAAAGTGTTATGGCAACCACAGAAATACAGGTTGATTTGACTTTAAAACGCTGGCGATAAAGATTAGGTTTCACCACGCGAAAATATCGGTTGACAGCTGTTGCAGTCATAAGCAGCAAAGAAAATAGTGCACAGAAGAAACAAAAGAATCCTTGGAAATGACAAACAGCACTGCTGAATGGCCACTGTCCTGTTACGAGAAGAACGACGGACATGGGCATACACAGGACTGCCATGAGAGCATCAGATATAGCCAGCGTCCCTACATAGATGTTTGGTATGGTGCGAAGTCGTTGGTTACGGTAGACAGCCCAGCAGACCAGCATGTTACCAGTGAAGGCCAGAATGTTGATACACATCATAAGAGCACTTTCGAAGACAACCAAACCAAGTGAGCGTTGTTGCAGTTCTTCGGAAAGAATTGTTTGGCCTTCATTCGCCATTGAGAACGGAGTCAACAAAATTTGTCTCAGTCAACGAAGTAACCTGAATCTTTTAGCACCGAAAACCACGTTCAATGTGCAATCAGTTGACGTAATTTAGTTTCTCTTTAAGATATTTGGGTATACAGTACTGATGGCCAATTGCGATGTAACGCGGGCAATTCCTTAAGTGGTGTGTTATCTGTCCTTGTAAGGAAATGAAAATAAGACTATACTGATTACAATTTTGCATGATTTCAGTTTGCATGTTATTTTTTTCCTACAAGCAGCTGCACATCTATTGAAAAAAAGAAACGTAATTCGATTGTTGATTAACAAACAGGTGATCACTTTTAAAGCAAGTGGGGACTTATGGAAACTGATAATAACTGAGTATACATTGCAAAGGCCGGTTTTTTTTTCTTCTTTAATTTTAGGTAAGCAAACGGTTCATCACTGGGGCTTGATCTTTTAAATGAACCTCGAGGAAGTTCGTGTGCTTCAAATTAGCATTTTGTTTGTTCAAAGAAATACTCGGTAAGCGTGAAGTGGTTTCATGGAAACAATTCTTTTATGTATGAAAAGAAATGTCATGATTAACCCGACTTAGGCGTAAGATTAGCAAACAGCGAAGTGATTCTACCGGAAGAATGAATTGTATTTGTACACTGAAAACTGAACGCGTGGAAATGCTGTTTCAGTATTTTTCGACGAAACCACTTTGGAATTTACGAAAAGCGAAATTTTCATAAGAAATAATTTTTACAACAAAAACAAAAACAGGGACTCTTATTACATTATTTTATAACATAATACTTTGAACAATTGAACAACTAAATCATGTAAATCAACTCTAATAACTTTGATAGATGGGAGAAAAAGTTAGTTTTGTGAGTCGCATTTGAGTAAAACGAGTTGGGTTAAAAACGATTTTTTTTTAAATTAAATTTTCTTCTTTTTTTCTTGATTTTTTTCTTACAGCTACCAATCGATATTGGTGTCATCCCTGGACAAAATTTCTTAAAAGAATCATACATTATGCAATGACAAAGCTTAAATTTGTTTTCAATCTCTTTCGGCACATGAGGCGCTTTCGAAATTGCAGGTTCTAGCAACATACATGATGAGTGTCACGTATTACTTACCACTCTAAGAGGAGAATTGATCAATCTCAGTGGTTTTATTTCTGTTAGGCGGGACGAAGGTTTTCTTGAGCACTTTTTGTAGACGTGCCTTATCACTCTTGTAAATAACTAAAGCATAATTATTCTTTCTCTTCAAAGAGCATGGCCCAAATATCAAATAAATCATCAAAAAAATCTCATGATATCCGATCGAGTTTGTATGTACTTTCGACTGTTTTTCACTCCTTAGATAGCGCCGATCAGCGGCAGTTCGGCCCTTGTGCGCTACCTTTACCTTCTAAGCGTAAACGTAGATTTTTAGATCTGACGTTATACAAAGAAGTCTTCACCCCAATCAATTTGTACATAACATTGACAGCTGTCATAAGGTCCAAATTAAAATTTGGACAATTTGTCGGTCTCCATTATTCATTTTCAAGGCAGCCAGAGTAGATACTTTTTTCCTTCCACACAATCTCTTAATGAACCATGGATATTAAAGGATTATTAAAATATAAGTGAGGTTTTCCTCTTTCTGATTGACCTTATAATTCTTGCGTTGACTATACTCGGCCGGCTCGATGGGTCGCTTCAATTTTTACTCAGTTATCCTCCTAGGTATCGTGGTTTTAATTTTTTTATGCTTCATGACACATTTTCTATCTACCAAAGAGAAGCAAAAGAGAAACTTCACGCATCATTTCGTGGTACACGTAATTATAATTACAGCATCGGAAGTTCTTCAGAACTTTAATATGCTGTTAACAGTGAACAATGACGGTCGTTAGAGAAGATTTGAAACTACCAGCTCAACAAATTTCGTGCATTTTGCAATTAACTGCTTTAAACGCAATTAATCATAACAGATGAAGGCGAGAACGCATGGCTCACACCTTATGTTACATTTTACAGGTGTATCATCGTTAGCCTAGTGATTACAACTTTGAGTTACTTTAATTTATGTTTTGCTTGTTTGCTCACGGTTTGTTTTCTCTTTTGGTTTTGACTGACGAATGTTCAGCGTGATTAAGTCATAAAGGCGAGTAGCCCACAACAAGAGGTGTTTATTGCCGGTTTCTTCAGCACTAATGGGCTGTATACATTTCAACACTCCTCCATTCCATTAGCAGGCAGTGCAGGGGTGATTTTGACGAGTGAGAGCCTAGCTTTTCTTGGTGAAAGATTGAGCGGCCAAATTTGATTTTTCAGCTGCGGAAAGCAGGGGAGAGAAAGAAATTTGTAACAAAAGGAAGGAAAGGAGAGGGGAGAGGGGGGCGGGGAATAAAAATCGTTGTTGTTTGGACTTTTTAAATTGATTATACATTTCATGTTGAACGTTTTTTACTCATTGCTACTCCTTCACTCTCCAGAGGAATTCCAGCGAGCTGTCCGTATCTCAACAGGGCAGACATTGGACCCTTACGTAGTCCACACAGTATTTCAGCTATTCGATAAAGACGGTGAGACTTTTTTAAATGTCCTTCATCCAATCAGTCCAATCCTTTCTTTCCCGTAGTGCCTTGTTATCGCCACGAGCGCTTTCTACGTATACGAACAACTCTTAAGCTATTTCATGCTCTCCAAACAAACTTCCCGCGCGAATTCAACCTCATTATTTGCACACCATCTGAGCATGAACCAAGTGTATGAGGGTCATGTTAATTCTTTAACTCCCAAGATTTAATTCGTGATTCTCCGTACATACATTTCCCTATTTGCCTGTAGCTGTTGTCGTAGTTACCTTTTTCTGTACAGTGTCTTGATATTGTAAGAAGTTTCTCGTAAATCACATGAGCGAATTGAAGGAATGACTAAACCAGGGTATTATATTTCCAGCCCAGTGTATTTTCTAGCCTAGAGCACAACCCACAATAATAATAATAATAATAATAATAATAATAATAATAATAATAATAATAATGATGATGATAATAATAATAATAATAATAATAACGAGGCTTGCAATTCTGACATTTGGACGCATGGTGGGAAGGCGGTAGTTCTCAGACCATGAGTTCTTTTCAAGAATAACAGTGTTCGTGGGAGAAATTTAAGTTTGCACCCCACCTCTAGAACTACCCGTCGATATACAAATGAATATTAAAGCGATTTTTGCAGTAATGAACGCTACTTGAGCAGTAGTGAAAATAAGGCCTGGGAAAAAAAAATTCAAGCCTGTACGGGATTTGAACTCATGACCTCTGCGATACCGATGTAGTGCTCTACCAACAGAGCGAACAAGTCAACTGGGAATTGGTCGTTATGCTGGTTGAATAAATGATGGTGAATATATGAAAATCATATGTGTGAACTGCGGGTTAAGTAATGAATATCAAAGCAATTATCATCGAGAAATGTAACCTCTCTTCGCTATTTTTCAGGCGATGGTAAGTTAAGTTACAGCGAGTTCATAGAGTTGATGAAAGATCGCCTCAAACGTGGATTCATGGTAAGCTTTTTTTTTCTTGAATACAACTTTAAGAGCTTAGCCTATGGGCCCCAGGCCCTCATTTCAAGTGCGAAGGGACGTGTTCGGCAAGACAGACGATTTGAAGAGAGGTTTGCATGGGGGCTGGCACTAATAATCAGTGTTCGACCCCTTTGCAGACCACTCGCGGGTTCTTGTTGCTCAAGGTCTCTTACCATCCTTCGGGCGAAGAAACGTTCGTCCCGAAGTGATAATGATAAGGGTGTGGTCGTGCTCACGACTAACGTTAACCTTGACAGAGAAATATCGGGGACTTTAAGCAGTCAGGACGGCAACGCCACGGAAGACGTCGATGAAAAAATGAGTTTCTACTTTTAGTTAGAATTTCGAAAATGGCTGCATGTGTTTACCGTCTCATAGGGCGCCAGACCTCAAACTCAACATAACGCATAAAAGTAGGGTTGATTTCCAAATGTAAATTAAAATAATTTGCCGCCGCGGTTTCCCTTCGCAGACGACGCAAATTTTGGTGATCTCACGTTGTTGTTTTGCCAAGGATGGCTAAGAAATGTACAAAGTTTTAAAACGCACGTGCTGGGCTATTGTTCTGCCGATTAGATCTATTGTTTTTCCACGTTCTCGTTGCCGTAGCTGTCGTGGTTTGCTTAAAGTCCCTAATGTCAAGAGAAAACTCTTCTTGTCATAAAGATAATCTTTGGGCTATCGTGCTGCTGAAGCTTGTATCCGCCCGCTTAGGTGAATTTGAATGTACGGTGATCTTGCTGAACTTTTTCCCCCAATTTCTTCGCTTATCTGCTTTGTCTCAATAACTTTAAATTTCGGACGTAAGGTGGTTACTTTTACATGAATGAACACATCTTATCGGAATAACCTTTAGACGCTAATGCGACTCAAAGATGAATTTCCAAGGGGTATCCATTCTTGTAGATAGTGCGAGATACTTTTTCGGACGACCTTTCACCTCTTTTAAACGAAGCCTCGAAACAAAATTAACTAGGTCTTACTTTTATGAGGTAAGCTGTCATAAGCCTGCCCTTCTTTTCTGTTAAAAAGGCCCACTCGTCTCTTGGGCTCATTTACAACAATTCCAAGAAGAGAATATAAATATATAACCGAAACTATGATGACCTAGTGTGATTGTTTTACTGTTGGCGACCGCTTTCAAGGACCATTCCTGTAGGTGAGCCGTGTCTTCATATTCAATACAGCATGATGTACGTATGATGCACGATCCTCGCAGTAGAAAGCGAGGATCGTGCGAGAAAGCGAGATCGTGCTGTTACAATGATAGAAGCGCTATCGTTGTAACAGCATGATGTGTTTCATCTTGACTGCTACTTACAAAGAGAACGTGCGAATATACTGCTTTGATGTGGAAGAAAATGAATGCAGACTCATGCCAACAGATAAAGTTTAGCTAAAGATAATCTTCAAATTTGGGATTTAGTGGACGCACTTCCTTCCCCCTCCCCTTTCCGCGAAGAAAAAAAAATACAAATTCTCGTGCAGAAGCATTTGCCAAGGGCAAAAGTGTAAATAACGTGCCGTTAAGCGAAGGATTCCGTTGACAAAATCCGACCGTTGCACATAACTTCAAATCCAAAACTCGTCAAACTTCTCTAAATTTTGTTGGTTAATTCCAGAATAAATGGTCAATTCACGGGGCGTTTAGTCACTTGAACTGCCTAAACTTGTTGGGAATGATTTGTGAATTGACAAAGGCTTCGAATCAGCGAAACACTGAAGTCTTTCAAATAACTCATTCGTTTACTTGTACTTGTGACCTCAATGAGCTTGAAGGCCCGTTCAAAATGCGCACCATCAAAGTGAGACATATAAAAAAAAAAAAAAACAACAAAGTTTAAAAAATGAAACTAGAAGAGCTTTTGTATAAATATTACTATTGGTGGGATTATTTGAAATCCATGTGTCATGTATGTACTGCTCAGTTATTCAAGGCTAACAAAGATAAGTATTCACATAGTACTTATAAAAAAAAAGCTACTCTTCCAATCGTCTTTGTGATTTTATTCAAAATCTTTCCCCAAACTTCCGGTTTTAAATAATTCTCGATTCTTTAGCAGTTTATTTATGTAAAAGAATTCCATCTGAGATGAAGACTTGACCTATAAATATCAAGATTGAGTTCAATCTATTCGAAAAAATAAGTTACCGATACTCTGGGACTTTGCTTTCTGATAACTTATACTACCACAGCACAAATGAAAACAATTCAATGATTCCCTTCCATTGCAAATCACAACTTTATGCCATAAATTGTGCTGAAATTGAAAATAACCTTCTCGACGTTTTTTTAAGTTTATCCAAACGTAATCTTTCTTTCACCTCTGACAAAGTCCCTCTTTGCCCCAGCTTTACCCCTCTGTCTCTGTGATCTGTTTCAGTTTTTGTTTAAGGCGTAAGGCTTTGATACTATACTTCAGTGAACCCAATCAGCTCCCAAGATTTGATGTATCGGTATTTGGTAGTTCTCCCTTTGGGGTGCTTTACGTTGGGAGAATTGGGAGTTACATCAAGTTAACACCCTCTATCAGATGAGTTTGTTTATTCCCATCACCTGTTTGTTGCAGAATATATTGAAGTAGTTAGAAAAAGTTACATTTTAGTCGTATGTGGGCGGTAAAGGGTGAATCGCTTGTCAATAGTAGCGGTATTGTAACAGTTTTCAGATGAGTGATTATTTTACACCCTCTTTCTTCCTTACGCTCTTTCTTTACCTTTGCTTAACCCTTTCTTGATTGCCAGTTATTATAAAGCAAGGGCAGGTATTCTTGCAAATGTATTTTCTGAAATAACACAGCTTATTATTGTTGTTGTGGACCTTGGAAAGTGATGCTAATCCCCCTGTAGCCTACAAAGTAGCAGTAAATCAGCTCTTGCTTGCCCCTTCATCAGGGCATGGGAAAGTTTGAACACTTGAGATTTGGTCTTGTAAGAGGAAATGACCGGCGCCAGAAGAATATACCCCAGTTCAGCAAGCGGCTGAGGTTTCATGGATCCAGGGTGCAATCTGGAGCATTCATGGGGATCCTTTACCGATCTAGTTTACTAGGATTGATGAAAGTGTGCGAATGTTATTAGTGAGCAAGGTGAAGAGAACTGGCCTGGACACGTTGAACTAATCTGTTTGGTGCCTCCCTGGCTCATCTGGTAATTCTAGTAATAGAAACAAAGCTTTCCTTGGGTTATGAAGGCTTTATTTAATCTGATTCTTCCGTTGTGAAACTTGTGCGATCGTCTATTCCCAGAAATTTGATCGGAAATCTGACTAACTTTAGTTGAAATACCAGCACGTTCGTGATTCAAACTTTCTTGTCAAAGATAAAAAGTTGGCTGCAGCTGGAATATCAACCGAAAAAGAGTTGTCGGTGGTTTTTATGCCCAGTTTGGACTCTGCTGTAACTCAGTGTCTGTGCATCTTGCGAAGTCAAGCTTACATTTTTGGTCTTCATTTGCAAGTTTACTCATTCCCAACCATTATAGTTGTCTTTTGAGTTACTGGACCTTCTGCGGTTTTTGTCTACTGTAGTAAATGATTACATATATTTTGACCTGTCCTTTTGAGGTTTTCTCCGTGACTCTGTTCATACTGTTTCGTGATATTGTGGTTTGAGTAAGAGTTTAAGCTCAGCATAGAATATTGCTCCTATAATATTTCCCTCTTAACGTCGACAGATGAGATTTCTTCCGCGAAAGTGGTTCTCAACGAGAAGGAACTTTGCCCCGAGTAGTTTGTTTGTTTTGTTTATCCGGAAGTGCCAAAAAAAAACCGGAAAAACTTGAGTCGGTTTATTTTTCTACTCACAGGAAGTACAGTGTGTAATCATGGTCGTTATTAAGCGTTTTATAAATGTTCACACGTAGAAGGAACTTCCTCAGTGTTGTTCAAAGAGCAGCACTCATTTTCCTTGTGCGAGAAATGTCAATAGATCACGAACACACACATGGGTCTAATTATAAACGCGATGGGTTATACCAAATGCGTTTAGTTACACTTGAACTAATTCACGTGATGATAATATTGGTGTGCATCATTCAATGTATTTTGACAAGTCTCTTCAGGCTTAGAGGTTTAGTTTCAAGTGTGAGTTCTTGTGTTGTTAATAAATCTCTTCAGTACTGTATCTATTTAGCATTCTTGACATTGTGTCACAAGTGTTTTTTTTTTGTGTCTTGATTGTAATACTTCAGAACGTTTTCAGTCCTTGACTTCAGTAGTAACTGTGCAGTGATAACTATGCAACTGTTAAATCACCTTTTTTTAAGTTAAATCTCTGTTGCGGTTGGAATTGGAATCTGCTTGGAAGTTTCCCTACCTTTTCAAACTAGTGTAGGTCAAGAGTAATCTTTGTGAAGTTTTAATCTGTGTTGTAATTATTGAACTTATAATTTTTTTCTTCTTCCTCTCGCCTCTTTTTTTTTCTCATATGTCGCTCCGAAAGAAGTCCTTGTTGTATTTATTGACACTCGTGTCTGTAGTATTATTCTTCATCGAATACTTTGTACCGTCATCGATGTCTCGGAATTTTTTTCATAAACACATTTGTACCCTTGCTGTGAATTTATACAGGTAATCTATTGAAGAGTTACGTATCCAACAGGTACCAAATCGTCTTCTTTTTGACAATTGTGGGGTCAAATGTCAAGACACTTAATACATTAATCTTTCAATGTATCTATTTCAATAACTGATGGTGACGCCTTATTAGCAGTGAGATGAATATGAAGTGTCATGCTCATTTCCTGTCTAGAGATCGTCTTGTGTGGCGTGGGGTTGATTGAAGTATGGTACTAATTTGTGACTAATGACTTTAAGACAAGGTGCGACTGGTTATTCAAAGTGGCATCTTAAAGTGAAATCTTTTATATAAACAGGTCCCGGCGTCAGAGAAGACCGGCTGGCTGGGTTTCAAGCAGTGTATCAAGAAAGAGATGTCCTTGTAGCAAGGTCGGGGATTTGCTGTTATTTATTACAATTCCACCTCCTGGTTTGGCGTAAACTCTGAACCAAACCTAATATTCGCAACGCTCTAGAAATGAACACTGAATTTTCTGTGCACGAATGGAGGAAATCAAAGTAACTTGCCCATAAAATTGAATATCAACTAAAGTTAAAGGATTTGTTTCAGCTGTATCTAAAAAGTATTGATTATTCTATCGAGAAGAAATGGGTTTGCATTCAACGAAAACCGAATGTACACCCCAAATATTTGCGCGACAGTTTTAAAGGTTTCAAAACTTTTAATGTTTATTTAACTGTAATTTTTTCGTGTTCGGCTCCTAGAGCCTCACAAGAAATTGGATGAAAATGGACACCATTGCCTTCTTTCGGATTAAATTCCCGAAAAGATTCGAGCCCTGCTACAATGTTTGTGACAACGAAGTTCAATTACCTTGTTCATTTAATTAATAGTTTTCATTGAAGATGATAGACCTCCATCACCACTCATGAAGGAGTGTTGACAAGTCTATCACGATGTACACCGCTAACAGGTACATCTGATGACATCTGCGTCCAGAAAAACGTTATCGTACCTCTCCGGAAACGACCATTAATTAATGATTAGCGGCCATTAGTGTCGAGTGTGGCATGATAATGAACACGCTATGGCTATTAATGCATTATGCAGTGGAATTACAAGGTGTCTTGCTCTCGTGGATGAGGGCAGCATTTGAAGTGACAATGATTTATTGTTCCTGCAGAGTGGAGTCTAGATTGCGTGTAGTCGTGGTCTCATTTGCGGTTTACCCAAGGAAAGTAGTGTTTTTACGAGGTGATCGGTAAAACAGGATAATGCAAGGGGCGGCAGTAGACAAACATTCTTACTGACAAGTCTCAAGTTCTTATCTCAATTTACAGTGGGTTTTAGATTGTTCTAGATGACGTCATGAGGTTAAGTGCGTCCTAACGACAGTCAGTGTTTGGCAAAAAACAGGTCTGCTCCGAACGAATTGTGATCGCTCACTTGGGGAATTTGTTTTGCATTGAGTTGCCTAAAGCCATCTCAAGAAGGAAACGATCACTCGAGGTTTCACCAAAGATTGCGTGTATTTTGAGATTATTCGCCTTCTCGCCCCCTTAAATCGTCGACTCGTCTAAGCTCGAATCATAAAGCCGCCTAAAGCCTTTAATCATTCGATCAATTTGTCTCGAGAATAGCTTTGAAATTCTTGCGTATATGCCACATAAGATGGATATGTCGCTATCTAGGTTCAGAGGAGACCGCGAGCGGTTTGTGTAGGATGCAAAAACTGCTCTTTCTTGTCTTCATCGCACGCATCCCATCAGTGCATCACGCGACGGTAGCAGAAGCTATCTGGGGTTGAATCAGATTTCTACAAGTCACATGCCATCGCTCTTCACAAGTGCGCGCGTTCTGTTGATTATCACAAGACATAACAGCCTTGACTCGCGGTGATCTTACGTAGGGTATTCAGTGACCACTGTGGCGCCCGTTTGGCCATGTCAGTCTCGGTCGCACTTCCATTCTATTCGGCATCTCTGGGCCTTCTCATAGCGTTCGCCATCCTCCGGTTTCTATTCTGTACCTTGGTGTTTCGCAAGCTGGTCGTTAAACTGTTCATCAAGTTTGCAGGATGCGAAATCAGCCAAGAAGTGTACGGCAATAGTTTGTTTGGATGGGAGATGTACAAAGCCGTGACGGCCGCTTTGTTGACAGATCTGCAGAAAAAAGCTGAGCTCGGTGCAGAAGCACCAAATCCTTGTGTCGTGTCGGCCGACGGCCAGTTGCGTTCACATCTGTTGGACTTCGCCAAGAAGAGCAGGCCGCTGGTGGTGAATTTCGGCAGCTGCACTTGCCCTTTCTTCATGGACCGCCTCAAAGACTTCAGCGAGATCATGGCGGATTTTAGTGATATAGCTGATTTCGTCGTCATTTACATCTCCGAAGCGCATCCTTCAGATGGTTGGGCTTTCAAGGTAATCTTAACAGCCTAAATTTACTTCTGAGATACCCAATTTGTCGTATGATCCTAGCAGAAATGTTACTTTCAAATCGGAGGATGGATTACCAACTCAAACTGGCTTTAAACGTCTCTATGTTATCCTCCTTCGCGCTTAGGTCCGTAGTATTATGGTGTATGTATTCATACGTATTCAGTCGAATTCGAAGAACCATGAAATTAGACAACTATACAGTTTGTCGTCTGTATAGGAAGCCCTGTTTGAATATCTAATTAATGAAGGAATGAGCTCGGACTTTGCTCTAACTCGTTTACGCTTTTTACATCACGATTTAGACCAACTTCCACGTGAAACGGCATCGTACTCTGGAGGAAAGGGTCCAAGCCGCTCGGTTGTTTCAGGACGCGTCTAAGCTACAGGCTCCAGTGTTGGTGGATTGTGTAGAAAACGAAGCGAACCGAGCGTATGGCGCCCTGCCAATCCGACTTTGTATTATCTTAAATGGAAGAGTAGAGTTCGTTGGCGGGATGGGTCCGACATTTTACAAAACACAGGAGGTCAGAAGTTGGTTGACGACTTGGAGGGAAAGTGAATTGAACGTGTAACTGTAGTGCTATACACGTGCACAAGTATTCAAAGTAGCACAGCGAGATACAAGGTGGAACACTAAAAAATGAAAGTTCAAGCACGTGTACTGATCGCGTTCTTTCGCCATCGCTGTATCACTTACATTCAAGAATATCATGAACAACATTATAAGGATTTTAATCAAGGGGCTAGTGTTGACCACACGACAAACGCTAGCCGTCAAGCCTAAAGCTACATATCTCTGTATGCTTGTAGGTTGTCATATTCAGTAGACCTGAAAACCTAAGTGCTGCCGGAGAGGCGTATATGGAAGATAAATTTGACACGAAATTTCTTACTTGCTTCCCATCCGAAGACAATATTTAATAGCCATACATGCTTATATTTACTCTCGTTTCGTCGTACTAAGAGTTATTGGAAATTTGTATTCAAAACAGAAATTCTCTAGGATAAAAGGTAAACAGTTCCTTTTAGTCTCAGTTGTGAGTTTCGAGGTGTATATTACCAATAGTGATCCCTTCAAAAGCAATGTCACCAATTTCGTGGTATTTGCCTGAAGGTTAAAAGGACGAAAATACGATACAACTATTTTAATCTTGCCCTGTGCGGTCATAGCATTTGTGTTGTATAACAAAACAAAGAACAAGGTGAGAAAAATAAATAACAGCTAAAAACTTGAATCTCGCTGCGAATTTTAATCCCCTAACCTCGTTTGGCGATCATTTCTACTTCACCTCAGCATATACAAACATGAAATCTAATTACGCGATTTTCTATCCATCAAAAACCGCAGGAAGTTGGTTAATGTCACTAGACGTCAAGTTGCATTTTTGTGCGTGAAGGTTGTTTATCGCAAATCCGGAAAAAGGTACACGGTAGCTTGACATTTTCAACTTGACCGGAAGATGAAAGTCCGTGGCATCAATCCTAGATGATGAAATATAACATATTGCCAAGGAAATACCTATCAAACTGAACGCTATGAAATGATCCAAACAAAGCTCTTTGTTCAATTACAAGTTGTTTTCTAGTCGAATGACCCTGGAGGGTGTGCAAGCATTAAAACGTTTGCACTTCTGCAAAGTCCGCATCACGCGATGATTTTCTTATTGGACGTTAACGCTAAATATCCAAACACATGTGATTTGAGCTGACTGAGGAGAACTCTCGTATTATGCGCGATAATCTCTGATTGTCGAGACCCTATTTGGAAAGAAATGTTTACGAAATTTATCGCGTGACTATCGGGTCTGGTAAACAGCCTTTGTTTTTAGCGCGTGTGCCCGAGATCATTTAGGAAGTACCTCCTCGTCCATTGATTTACGATCTAACGATCGATTGGCTAAGTGCTAATGAATGAGAACCCCACTTGAGAAGATTCGTTTTTCACTAAGTGATTTCTCTCGCTTGAATCCATCTGCGGTACAATCGTTGGCGACGACTGATTGGTTTCGCTAATCTACACTGTCCTTTATCAGGTTTTTTAGCTGTAGGGCTTCAAGCGTGGTACTGTTTGCTGAAAACTTTTTCAGTGTATTTCTTTTTTGGCAGGGAAATCAGTCGTTTAGTGGTAATCAGTGTTCTAATTTTAATCAAATGCATCATATTGTGACACATTTCAGCACTCACAGAGTAAAATGCTATTTGAAATCTGGTGAAATCACAGACTTCCGGTGTCGAAACGAATAAACATCATGAAATAAACAAATTAAGAAAAATACTATGTCACGGATGAAAGAGATGGTGGCGAATCGAAAGGAAATTTGTTTTTCTTTTTTATGAAAGTGCAGAAACCAGTGTGAAGCTGATAAAGAGACTTTGAAACTTAAAAAATCGGCCAAGAATAATTCTAATTTCAGTTCATTCATTATCTGACATTTGAGTTAACCTCGCGTGATAGACACACAACGAATGCGTGAATTTGAACACTACGTCATATTTGTCCAATTTCCTCACGAATATAGCTTTTCCTTTTATATCTGGCCGCTTGGATCACGTCTGAAACCCAAAAATATTTTACTTGGACTGGTCTTTATTAGAGAATTACCTTTTAAAACCTTCCGGTATTTTTCAAAGTATAATTATCGATATTTTCTTATTGTCTAGAAGTTGCTGGGCGGATAGGTCTGAAACCGCCGAATTATAATTCTTGTGGATGGACTTTTAAAGAATACTTGAAATCAAAAGCGTTAGCATGGCCACTGGTGATTAAGTTGACATGAATCTCTTCAATGCGAAAGAACTGATAAGACGTAAATTAAAATTAACAATTGCAAATTGGCACCTCGCTTCCGAGAAGTTCACTGATTCAAAAAATGGCGTTTACTTTAGGTCACGTACACCATTTTGTCTATTATCTCAGACGATTTAAAGAGATGATAATTTTTTTTTGCAGAGAACATTCCTTGCAAATTTATATCAGCTTTCGTAGGAAATGTCTTAAGAAAAAGTTGTAAACATCTTTGGATGTCAAAGGGTAACTACATATTTCTGCACATACACCTCCCTGGAATAGAACGAAACTTTGTTTCAGACAGGGACCTTCCTTTAAAACAGAACCTTAAAAGCACTCCCAAGGACTGTAGAATTACTCAGGTAGAGTTTCAAATTATTTTTAGACCCGCGTTAAAGGATTGACTTCATTAGTCATCAAAGAAACACTAATTACTTTTCACCGACGGTTCTTCGAGAAAGGGCAGAAGGGGCTAACCAAAACCATTATCTCTTCTCTCCAGCTCACGTGGTTTCTCAAATTGCGTGTTTCAAAGATTACTTTGAAAACAGAAAACCACCATCAAACCATGAATAGAAGCTATCTTCTGTCCATTTACAAAAAGTATCAAACCAAGGCTTCACCTCTAAAAAAGGTAGCATTTCATTCCTCTGTTAAGACTTCCAGATGTTAATTTCACAGTTCGATCGTTTTAATTTTTTAAAGACTTAATTTGGTAATGACCACCACAAACACAGCTCGTTTCCAAAAATAGACTGTTTACTGAAAAGAACGCGATAACAGCTTCAATAGTTTTTCCAAAAGAGGGAAATATAGCAAGCATCTGCTCTGAGGTCGAATATGGAAGAAAAATGCCCTCAGCACATAACATTTAAACAGCAGGAGGTACAGTTATGGTTATTGCTTTGTTGCGCCGCACAGAACAAAAAAAAAAAGTGTATGGCCAGTGCAAATGTTGCTACGTCCAAAGGTGTTGGATATCGAGGAGTTGAAACACTTGAAGCAAGCTATCTACGTACTCTGGCACTCGACAAGGAAGATTCTCTCTCACCAGTGCCTCTCGCTTTAGCGCATAAACTAAGTCGCAGAGAAAAAAAATCTAAAAAATTTGAGTTACTGAAAAAGCGCAATTTTTAATTTAGAATATGTCGAAAATTTAATTTAGCTAGTCACAAACTGAAAAAGGAGTTATTTTGTTATGTACACAACTCCCGTCTCATAGAAATATGAAAATAAACATTTCACGGTAAGAAAAGTAAACACGGATTTGCTTTATAAACTGTAAATTCTTTCATAAGAACTAGTTTTCAACCCTTTTCAAGACCAGATACACTGCTACAGAAATTAGTTAAGGCCCGAAAATGTTGCAGTCAACCGCAGTTGATGAATTTTTTTCAGCTTCTGATGACTATAAATAAATTGTTTTAACTTTTGCGATAGCTGTATGAGTTGTTCAAACATCGCGTGATTTCATTGTATCTTTCATCGATTCTAGAAAGTTCAACTAAAACAGAATTATTTCACCTAGTACTTCTCATACCGGGAAAAACAAAACATAAATAACCGGTGAAATTGCCCTTACTTTGCAAAGTTTGATTCGAAAAGTAGAACTTCTCATGCAACTGAACAAATTATTCAATGGGAATACTTCGATCGCGTGACCTCAATCTTCGACAATTTCGCGTGTTCGCTGAATGACGTAATGCAGAACATGAATGGGCACACTGCGTGTAAGCTCAATACAAGGGGTCCGTCAAAACAAACTTCCCACAGAGCTTAAGCGACATAGGAAATGAACTTAACTGCGATCTTCCTTCAGCAGATTGTAATCTCGCACGCACAGCGACCTAAGTCAGATAAACAAGGAAAATTAAAAGGGAACATTTCTCGATTGTGGTAAATATTGATCTACGCTTGTTTGCATTTGAGTGAGAAACGTCCGACTTTCAGGCACCGAACAGCTAACACATAGTTTGCAGTGACATCAACCCGCAGTTTCAATCTGCGACACTTGCCATCAAGTTTATTTGTATTGAAAATAGGTTTAGGGACGCCAAAATGTTCTCTGTTACTGATTAAGTCATTTTGTAGGAGGGAAAAATCACTCCAAATCGATTTCCCCTTGTACCACTTCACTTTGTTTTGTTTTAGGCCTATCGCCGTCATCGTTTCATTGTTTATCACTCATTTTCAACGATTATTAACACGTAATTTGTGTCAAAAGGAACATAAACCTCATTCACCGCAAGTCACGATACTGACGAGATCAAGTCTTTTCGCACATTAGAAACTATGAAATGGGCGCAGATTCCAACAAGTATTTTCCCACTAAGACAGAACGACGAAATTGAAACTGGGACCGAAAACCTGCCACAGGTTCGTTTGCGTAGAGCGCGCATGATTGACAGTCCTTGTGCAAATAAAATCTGGAAGATCTAGCAAGAGCACTAGCTAGAATTACGTAATTCAAAAATTCTCTGCCACTGGCGATTGTGGAAGGTTTGCAAACCGATGCGAAGTAATGGAGACGCTTTTAATGCACACTTCTAGTTCACTCTTAAAAGTATTCATCGAACACGACCGAGTCGAGCTGCTGCTAAAAGTGTTAATTTGATCGATTGATAGACACTAAGCCTCTACAAAAAAATTACAAACATTTAAACAGTTACCATTGCCTTCCGGCTCTTAGTCTCAAATACAATGTTATTAATTAAGTGAGTTGTGTGAGGTATTTACTGCAACGCTGCGATACGCGTGCCACAAGAGTTGGCAAAAACGGTCCGAAACGTGTCTAGGAACTGAATAAAATAATCAGCGGATTGTGCAGATTCTTTAGCCAAACCAAAGGATTACAGATGGAGAAAACAAGCTCAATAAGATTTTAGATATTTGAGGTGAACAACAGGTTGACTTAACCCTGGGCTGCCCAAGGGAGGCGTGTAAAATCAACATGAGCTGCAGTTGTAAATGCACGCAATCTATCTTAATCACTTGGGGGTGACAGTCCAATCAGAGTTCACCTTAAAGTGCGATAAAAATTCCTTTCAGAGAAAAATTGGAACGAAGCGGGTAGGAATGTACCGCTTCGCTGGCTCAAACTGGGCAATCGTGTTGAAATCGAGAGGTGTAAAGTACGTCAGAGGACTCGTACACTTGGAATAGACTATTTAACACGCGATTTATTTACATTCGTGTTTTCGCACGATGAACGACTGGTCAAGCAACTACAAAGACTTCCTTTCATCAATTATTACACTGAGCTTAGAATTAAAGTTGTCGCGACCGTTTAAGAAGCTATTTCTACAGATCAATGACTCAACTGCTTGTAAGTAAGTTAAAGACAAATAGTGCAGTTACTCGGTCTACCACGACATCAAAACACGTCAACAATATCTCTTTGTTAGTTGCTACCTCAAATCTACCTTAAAAATTAGTATTTCTTTGAACATCGTTCTTGGTCATTGTTCGATACTTTTTGAGCAAGGATTCCCAGATCTGTGCGTTGCATGAATTGTTATAAACTTCCGGTTTTAGCCATTTATCCTAATTGTCTTTCCTTGCGTGGCTTGTTCTATGGAGGCGCATCATTTGAATGTTTTGTGTTCCTCGACTCGGTTGTTTCTAATGTTTTACGCCCGATGACGGCCAGTTTTCATAAGTTCAACCTTGTATTCCTTTAACCACTTTGCCACATTTTGTGGGTCGTAAAATGTCGGTCCAGTTAAACCAGCAAATTTCACTTTTTGATTCTTTATCACGTAAAGTCTGATAGGAAGCCCGGCGTATGCATTGTTAGCTTCGTTACCCATCGTGTCTATCATTATGGGACAGCTAAAGTGAACAGAGTCCTGCATAAGCTTTGCTGCTCGGCATCTATCCTCCAGGGTCTTGTGGGTAGAAATTTTGACGTTGTTCTAAGTATGAGATAGAAAGATTTAGTCAGTTGCTGTGGGTCTCTAAATCATTTTGCATAGGTTGGACTGTAACAATTACTCACATTAGGAAACTTCTAAGGGGCGTGCACAGGTAAATTTTGCTCATGTAGAAACTGTAAGGAAATAGTTTTTTTAAAAGACCTTGTATCTCACCTCAAAAGCCCAACCGTCACTTGGATGGGCTTCCTCGACGTATATAGTAAGGAAATCAGCAACATCACTGAATTCCTGTACCACGCTTAGAAATTCGCCCACCCTAGCTCTAAAAACTGGGCAGGTCCAGCTGCAGAAGTTGACAACCAGTGGACGGCTCCCCTTGCAGAAGCTGAGCAGTCGACTATGCGACTCTCCGTCTAAGGAAGCAAGGAGAGGGTCCGGTGCCGTGTGATCCTTTCTTACAGTTTTCAGAAGCTCGAGATGGATGGAATTGCGCACAGATTTCAACATCTGCCAACTAAACAGTGAACTCCAGTACATTTCCTTTGGCAGCGGTACAACCGATGTCAAGTCCATCAGTTTAACCACGATCCATCTTGTTCTGGGCAAAATTCTGAGAACGCGTAGGAATGAAAATGCCACCAAGAGAAGCAGTGTTGCTGCGCAGTGTACAAACGTGATACTGGTCATTTTCCGCGACATTTTTTTTCCTCGTCGAAGCAGCAGAGCCAGCGAGTCAAAGCTCGTGTGTATCTCCACTCGAACACTTTCCGTGGGTTTGAGGACCGCAATGACAGCGTATTTATACAGCACCGAAGGAATGTCAGTAATTTTGTTTCTCTTGAAAACACTCATTCGACAAATCTGACCTCGCCGATGAACTCTCGCGTGACGGTTACGCGGTTTTTTTTCGTGCTGGCAGGTGCGGCGTGCAGCTCTGGAACCAATGAAACCCAAACAGACAGACTTGCGCAACTATGTAGGACAAATTTTGTCTCTTCTTATTCAAATAGCACATCTGTTGTCACAATAAAAAAAGGTGTTCAGCTATTTGCGAACAATTGGCGCCGACAATTTCTCTGCGTGCGTAATGTGGTATGATTTATCGTTAGCGCTATGTATGCCGTCCGATTCTCTTGCGAAAATTGACCCACATTTATTCGTTGCGTCTCACGGAATAGTGATATTTCGTCTAAGCCTCTTTAGTTCAAGCACTACTTTCTTGTTATTTAAAGTTGTGCATGTGTTCCGTTCAAGTTTCAGTTGTCATCGCTGAAGAGTGAAGAGTTCTTGAAAAAGTTGTTAATCTGACGTTCCCGATTAAGTCGTGTTACTGATTTTCGCAAGGCCTAGCCACGAAAGCACACGATGCTTTGGTGCTTTGGGACCATGTTGTTAATCGTTTAAACAGATTTAAAACATAAGTGTTCAAGGACGCCAAAAATAGAGAAGTGCTAGACTTCTTTGCGGTGGTGTTTTTTCCACATATGTGCGTTGACGTATTTTTCGATCTTTTTTGCATGCCACAGTATGTAGTCTGTTAAAAATAGCTATTGGCTTGCGCTTGTTTCTCACTGTGCTCTATATTTGGACTTTTTGATGGAATAAAAGCTCTCCTTTAGTGATAAACCCATGTGCTTTGTTAAAAGAATGCACGAAGCCGAGTGAGAACATGAACAAGAGAACAACAACTGAAATCAAAGAGACCCTGCTTCGAGGAAGAAAAAAACAAAAAGGATCACTAGTACGAGAGGAAAATTCGTGCGTCTAGCAACTGTAGTCAACATCTAGAAAAATGAATTACGTTTAAAAGGGAAGTTTATGACCAATAAAACTATTTATACAAACAGTGTTCATATTGAAAATAACATGTAATATCTACAGACATTTCTGATGGATTGTAAACAGCGATGAAGCTTGCGTTTAGAGCCTATTTTGGAGCCTATTGCTCAAAATATTCGTGTCCTATTTGAAGTTGTTCTCAAATGTTGCACATTCTCTGAAAGTTTTTGTTACGGCCTATCGACTTTTAAGCATGTATTGTTCAAAACTAATAAGTGTAGGAGTTGGAGTATTGGTTGATAATGAAGTAGCTGTAAAAAGGAAAATTGAAGGTTCGGATACCACATCCTCTTAAACTCTGAACTTTAAGAAACCTTTTCTGCATTTAAGATGATGGTTGGTTATAAAATAAACTGCCTTGATTCTTGCTATTTGTGAAACTCCAGAAATTCGGAGAGCGTACGGATTTTACACCAGAGCATATTTTCAAACAATGAACCTCAGCTCTAGTGATTTCCAAAAATCCAAGTCGCCTGAGGAAGTGTTTTGATGCAGCGTTCGCGTGACATCTGCTGCTTAACCCGGCTGTGTGTTCGTGCTGAAAACACWCTTATCTTGCACGCAATGATGACGGTGCAATCAACAAACCCTTGATTCTTTTCACTCCTTTATTATTGTTTGACTCCGATCATTTGAAAATGTGTAATATTGGATTAAAACGCGACAAGATGAGACACAAGTTGAGAAAAAAAATCGTGATAACAACGAGCTAGACATTGATATGGGTTAATACCTCTCCACAGTTAACAGACATAACAATGCTATTTCGTCATCGCCTCTCAGTGACGGTGACCTACGTTGGTTCAAGAGGAGAGTCAAAGTTCCTGCATTCCTCATAAATAATACTTTATCGTTACCTTGGAAAATGCAAGGAATACGAAAGCATGCTTTTGATGTCACCAACGTCATTTTTTTAGTCATTTGATTCAAATTAACATGATTCACTGATTTCTTAGATGCGTATATATAAATAAATGGTGTAATGTTTATATTGTAGATTTTTAATACTTGTACAGTTTTAGGTTAATTATTGTTGTAATGCGCTTTTGACCACCTGGTATGTTAAAAGGCGCACTATAAACCAATAAATTTTTATTAATATTATTCACTGCAGAATTCTGAAAGATTCGTCTGAGGCTTCCAAAAAAGGAAGATTTTTGTAGCCTTCCCGAGAGGCAGATTCTTCATAGAACAAAAAAGAGTCTTCTTTTACAGTCGAAAGAACATGTTTCTGCCGGGAAATACTAGTACATCTCGTCTAGTTTGTAACTTGTTTGTCGTAACAAAGTTGCAACCCAAGTGCTCAATGAACCCTGTCTCTAAGCTGAACATGACCGGTCTTTCGAGTGAGACACCACTTAAGACACCTCTCTCCATTTTACAACTGCAACAAGACTTATGATCTTGACTTTTTCTGCCATTTTGCTTGCTAAGTATACAATGATACATCGGATAGGAATTTCTTAATGAAAATACATCACGTCATTTAATTAGTTCCCTACGTACGAAGTGATGGAAGGTGGTTTAAATAGTCCACTTAGATCTTAGTGCCTCTTGACTTTTAATTACCTTCAAACGCGTTGTAGAACTTACGCGATCCCGATAGCGCGCGCTCTCTTTGCAGAAACGTTTGTAAAAGGACACAAGCAGCTCTTTCTCATAGGTTACACGATTTATGAGGCTTCTTCAATTACACTCAAATGCATGTACCACATACGCTTCGAGGCCAAATAAAATATTGTAATTTGTACTTGTATAGTAATTTATTCATAGCTTCCCTTTGAGCAGATCAATGTTCCGACTTAGAACGTGACATTGAAACAGTACATTACCCACTATGCGTGGTCGTCACTAAGTGTTATATGAGGATCTGAGACCTGTAGTATCAAAATAATAGTTACAATATGTATGTGTACTGTACAAAATTCTTCTTGTTTTACGACATATTCACACCAGACTTGAAGATTCATATATGCAACATCTCTTCCTTCAATTTTCTCTTTTGTTGAAACTCCTACAGAATATTGTCTTGGCGGTTTGATTCCTCCAGACAATGATCCTTCAAGATACTACTTAATTATCAGACTGAAGTGGTCTGCGGTCAAAGTTAACATACACGCAGATTCAAATAATCCACGTGCGTCTCGCGTGCTAGAGCAGTCATTTGTCTAAAGTCAAACGTGGGTCCATCTTGTTTTCCCGCGAATTTATCTACGCTCTGTGCCTAGTGGTTTTCGGATGAATTCTGATGCTCTGAAGCCGTTGTCTCACTTCCGTAAGATTGTAAAATGTGGGTCCCATCCCCCCTGCGTATTGTATTTGGTTCCTTTGAATGATGTAGAGTCTGATTGGCATACCAGCGTAAGCCTTGTTTGCATCATTCGCCATGGTGTCAACCACAACTGGACAGTTAAATTTCACTGAGTCCAACATCAACTTTGCAGCGCTACTCCTCTCTTCCTGAGTTTGGTGTTGGGGTATCGTGATGTTATTCTGCAAGACAAACCACATCATTGTGAGGACGATAGTCTCCCAGTGATCTTATATGGACAATGATGTTTGCCCTTAAGGTTTCTTTTCCTTTAGAGTTAAGTCGCTGTCTTAATTCTTTGAAAAAATTTGCATTAAGTGACGATTTAGAACGCAATGAAAATTTTGCCCCAAAGGTAATCAGTAGAGTTAAGACTGCATTCGCTTTTTTTCCCGAACATTCTACGAATGAAAGGCAATTGTTTTGTTTTTGGGATAAATGTGTCTATCAGTGTGATCGTTACAAATAACATTGATTTGTATTACTAGTATTTCTTTATCTCGGTCTTTCTTATTAAAATATTTGTGAAACAATGAATCATCGACTCCTTAAAACTGACTAAATCCTTCAGTCAACAGAACGTAACCGGTATCAGCCAATCTTTCCTATGAAATACAGATGTGGCTTCTCGTTAAATTCATGTACTTGATGGCTTGACCTTGAAAGTAATAATTTGAACTTGGCATTGCTGCTCACTTACATCAAAATCTCCTAATCTTTGGTATCTGATAACAGTCTATGGCATGCGCTCACCTCCAATTTCCAACCATTGGTCGGATGGGCTTCTTCAATGTATATCGTCAAGAAGTCGGCCACGTCACTGAATTCTTGCACAATGGAGAGGAACTCGTTCACCCTGTTCCTGAAAACAGGGCAGGTCCAACTGCCAAAGTTAACGACAAGAGGACGGTTACCTCTACAAAATTCTAAGAGACGGTAACGTGATTTTCCGTCTACGGAAATGAGCTGGGAGTCTGGAGCGATTTTTCCCCTAGAAGCTGTCTTCTGCAGTTCGAGTAGCATTGACGAGCGTTTGGAACTAAACATGGACCATGTGAATAGTGAATCCCAGTAGTCTTCCCTGGGCATTTGGATTGTCGAAATCCTGTTTACAAACTCTGAGATGATCCACTGTGCACAAGGAACGAGTTTTAATAGCCGCAACACTATAAACGTTAGTAACAGCATTAAAGTCCCGAGGTAGTAGCAGAAAAACGTACACGTGCTGAAGATCATCTTAACGCATAAGAACTGCAGTGTTAACTGCACCGTGTCTGAGATTCAACTGGACCGAGAGCTTTACGAATTGCTTTTCACAGCGGGAGAATTTAAAGAATGTCTTTTATTGCGACCTCTTACGTGATTTTCACATTTTTTTTTAGTCACAGCTCGAGCGTGCAATGCGGAAAATAATTATTAGGAGCGGGAAGGGTATATCTTTAGCGAAGTCTTTGCTTCTTTAGCTATATTTGGCTCGGCTTACCTCTGGTATTTAGCGGTAACGCTTTTACAAACGAACTAAACACAACTGTTCGCAGCAGTAGCACTCGGCGTGCGCTAGACGCAGTGTTGAATTGCAGGCCTGCACTCTCTTGTTAAGTATTTTTCAATGACCCCCATTTGTTCTCGAAGTTATGATGAGCACGCAACAAATTAGAATTTCTTTTTACCATGACTAAAGATTTCTTATTCCATAAATCACTGTTAGAGGACAAAAATTTGATACGAAGCTGGCAAAAAATAATTACTCTCATCTGCATTTCAATGCGAGGGCACTTAAGAGCGTCTTGAAATGAAATAGCTAGAGGAATCAAAACTGAACTATCGATATTTCACGCTGCGATATAGTTTGCCAATAGTCCCACAATAGATAGTTTGCCGCCAAGTTTTGCGTGATTTTGAAGTTGTAAACAAATGTTATTTTCATCACGCGATGAATTGCACAAGACTCACGCGAAAGGAAGCGAAATTTTACAGATACTCCGAAATGGTGCTCTTGGCTGTTTATTTTACAATTGCTCGAGGTTTTTGACATAAAGCGCAAATATTAAACACTTGCGTAACTGAACATAATTGACTATTTGTGTGTCTTTTCCGTTGCAAAATTTCCTCACGGCATGACGCTCTTTTAAAGTAATCAAGAGTTTGCCCCAGTGCACATGTTGGCATGTTAGAAGCTGTCGCTACGCTCATTATGGTACGCTTTTAGACGGCAAATTGCGAAAACCCTGTTAAAGGCTTAATGAGTTTCAAAAATAGATAACCATCCTGAGACATGCCGCGAGTCATAAATTAACTGCTCTTGGGATGCCCAAATGCAATAATGGATGAACCGCAAACTGATCGCCTAGCTCAGTTCTATAAGAAAAACCTCACCATCAGAAAAAATAACTCGTACGATAAATGATGACAGAGACTGTTTTTGTAAATTTGGCTTGAAGGTAAATTTCTGCAAGGCACGTTCAACACAGTGGAAGCAAGTTACTTGGGAGCAAGCGGCCTGTCTTATTTCCTGCTTTTCTGAAGCAGTGATAGCGGCGGAAGGAAGTTCCCATTTTGGCCGCGGCGTTGAAGCTGGGCGAAAACGCTTTTCTTGCACGTACACTTGCACTTCTCGTCGAAACAAATGGCTACGTGAAGCGGGGAAAGACTTTACTTAAATCATTTTTAAATCATGTTTCAATTTTTAAGGTTAGAACACAAGAAAAAGAACACCATATCCGTTTTGATTTCCTCATTCAGTTTGTGCATAATTTGGTGAGCGGAAAAAGGAGAACGTGCTCTTACCAAGTCGTCTAGACGTAATTATTCAACCTTTAACGCCCTTTCGAGTGGCTCACATACGATGTTTGAAATTAAATTAACGAGAAAAGAACTACTCGGTGAATGAAAGGCAAAGAAGCCAATGTCAGTAACTGTACCTTTACGAAATCTTTATCTAGTTGTTACGTCTCGGATGGTCTCCATAATATGACTGATACATGCTTTTTGCATACGACACGCGAACAGACCTTTTGTTCTATAATCAGCGTGCATAGTTCACTAACTTTGTCACCATCAGTTACCCTGAAGTTTTTACCACATGTTTCACTCAGTGAAGCTAAAGACTGCGAGAAAGTTCGTCAAACGCGACAAAATTAGATGACTTCGATCAAAATATATTTTGGACGCGGCTATGAGCTCGTTAAATCATTGACAATTAGTGAAAGTAGGGTCTCGAAAAGGTCTCTTGAGTGTGTTTTCTTCTTCCCCGCGGTTTTCTTTTATACGTCAGTGCTCCCATAGAAGTACGTGATTTATTGCTTTTACGAAATAAAAGGCAATTACTTAAAGGCTTTAATATGGCGACAATTCAAGAGCTCTTAAGCAGAAAGCCAGAGAGCCCAAAACACCGAATAATTGGGTGTGTAATCGTTTTTGCGAAGTATTTTGACGAATGCGGACTTTAAACCCTCGCAGAAATTATTTAAAGTGATTTAATACATGGTAATATAGACACCGCGAGTGTCACTTGCCTTTTGGCACGGGCCAAGGCAAATTTTTAAGGTAAACCACTACAGTGCCACAACTCACACGTCTTTTATAGTGAACTTCGTCAGCACGTAATGACGTAATCTCTAGATTTTTAAGTTTTTCTTCGAGCTGTTTAATAGAACTGAGTACTAATGAAACTGCGTACCCCGTGCAAAAGTTTATGGTAAGTAAGAAAAATACAGCACAATTCCTTCTTCAGTTCCTTTTATAACATTTTTTTTTTTTAATTAAAGTGAAAAACGTTTTTTTTCCTCAATTTAAGAGTGCTCTTGACAATTCCGCCCTTAAATTCTCTGTTGCGGCTTTAGTAATTTTAATAATAAAAATATAGTGGCTGCCTGTATTATTCCATTCATTAGCTCTTTGCTAAGTTTGCGTCAGTTTTGCACATTCTGTTGCATAGGTACTGCAAAGACTGCTACCTCTATTATTTCAAATTTGTACAAATTAGAAGGGTTTGGGTGTGTCAAGTTAAACGTGGAAGGGACTAAAAATAACGCAAAGACACTTTCAAAAATTAACTCAATGGGACGGGTGGCAGATGTTCAATTAGACACGCTTGGTTAGGATCAGGCCATTTGACTTCTGATTAGGGGAGGTACGAAGATGCGTTGTCTCCTCCCATTTCTTAAGAGTCAATTCGAGCAACCCTCTAGCACTTTTGTGTCACGGAGCTAAGCCAAAAATATTTTAAGATCGTAAAATGTAGAGTTTTTTCAATGAAAAGTGAGTGATCACCTTGTACCCAAAGTCAGCTGCAGTACACTGCTTTTGAATCGAACACCGTCTCTGGAGCGTAAACGGTAAGGTCTGCTGAAAGTTGCCTCTGAGATGCCGTTTTTAATCCTATGCGAACAAAAGGTTTATTGTGCGTGATTCAAATCGTATGGTGATTTACATTGATCAAATCTTGTGTACCTTGCGATGTCTCAGTTGCAATTTTTTCTTTCTGTCACGACGATGGTGAAAAAAAACTAAGTTCTTCATCGTGTTATCGTTCGGTAATGGAAATGTTTGGATCATGAAGAGACTGGAAATATTTCCTTCATACATATTCACATATTTTATTGTCGTGAGTGAAAAATAAAACGTAAAAAAAAAAAAATTATGCGCGAGTGGAATTTGAACTCATTTACCGTCTTGGGAAATACCGGGGTAGCGCTGTTACCTTCGATGTTATCAAGCCGGCAATAGGGCACAAGATGTTGCTTTAACTTTGCACACGCGTTAACGGGAACATATGCCGGAAAAACAGGATGTTTAAATTGTGGAATAGAGATTCTATTAAAAGACAATCGCAGTTGTAAGTTCAATGCGAGAACCAATCGTCATGACCGATCTGTTCAGCGGTCTGTGGCTCGATCATGAGCTGGTACCAGTAGTCGGGCACGAGATAAATCTTCATTAATTTCTATTTCAAATCGCATATGTTGCCGTTTTTTAAGCAGAGGAACGTTTTCGAATCCTTCTATCAAACTAAACCAGTTACTGGTCCAATTTTTACAAGGTCATTGAAACAATTCAATAGGCTACTGATCAACTGATTGTATTGATACATTTATTCGTTCATTTCAACGATTTTCAAAACATTGAATTCTTACAGCAAGTCGTCTTTATTGAGCATTGTGTATTGTGACAGTTTTAGGTCTTGATAGTGAATTATTTTTCCATGGGTGCGCTAGCCAACCTTCGCCAAACAAGTTTGCATATCCCGTAATTTCTTCTAAAAAAGGAATCAAGGTTCTTTCTAAACCGGCCCTGGCATAAAGCCCAGTTCTACAAGTAGTTACGATGGGGTTTTTTCGGAAATTTGGCAACCTTCGAGGTCGCGAAATTCCTCAAACTCCCTTTGCAAATTTCATGATGATGTTTGCGTGCTTTTCAGAAGGGCTACAATCTCATTCACACATCAAGATAACTGTTTCTACAATTCGGAAAATGAGAAATGTTGTAATTCCGGACAGAGGTGAACCCGGGTTAAAGAATTGTAAGGAAAAATATTACTAAAATTTTGATTTTGCGCAATTTTCGCAATTCTTTTCCATTTTCGTAGTGTCCTGTTGACATCTTGTTGGCATATTCTACAAGTGAACTTTGAGCATCAAAAATGTCTTGTAATCTTACAAAATTTCACCACTTCATTGATATCTGTAGCCACGTTTAACCTTAAACATATATTCCATCCTTGGTTTAGTTGATTTCTCTTTTACTTAGGCGTTTCTCACGTTCTATTAAGTTATTCACAAAGGATTGGCACTCGATTAAAAGCTAAAAAAGAATGAAAAAACAGGGCTTTGCCTCCTTCTCAATACGCTTCTTACAACTTTTGGCATTTGTATTCTCGCGTGATCCGTGGTCTGCTCTCAATTAGATCAACTTCTCCATAAAATTCTTATCACAGAGATTGATCTCTGCTAAATGATGATCCAAACCTCGTGAAATGTATCGTTTTGTTGACAATTCGGAAACCACCAAGGGTTTCATTCAGTCACGTTCGCTAAAGCAGTGATGACATGTAGAATTCAAGGTTATCTTAGTTATGTGTCCTTAATCAGTTTTAGCCAACTTATTCGAGATCGGAGTGAAGGGGCGGTACGCCAGGTCAAATGCTCTTTATCTCAGGAATTTTGGGCAGGTTTGCGATTTTACCTCGCTGAAATACCATTCTTTCCAAAATACACCCACTGGTTTAAGAGCTCAAGTAAGTAACGAAACGTGCTTAATTTGGTGATCTATATGAGGTTTATTATGAGGCTTTATAGTATGCGTCGAATCGAAATAAATGGGGACCAAAGGTGACCTTAAAGTCTGACCACAAAGAAAAAACAAAACGTACTCCGAAACGATTCCCAGATTTAAGGAATCATAGATCAAAATAAGTTTGAAACACCATGAATGGACGACTTTAAATCAAACTATGTCGTGAAAGGGGGAATAATTTGGGTCATTGTCTGCCCCTCTGACTACACCACAGTGCTAAGTTTGTTTATGCCCCCAGGGTGCATTCTTCTCACAATTATTTGGACGCAATTGAAATTAGACTTATTGAGCGAACGACGACGTAAACGTGTGCTGTAATTTCAGGGTAGCTTTTAGAACGAATTATAAAGAAGACAACGTGGTAGAAAAGAAATAAGCGTGGAATCAAGGCGAGGAATACTGTATAGCTGACCATTCTGTTCCATTGATTTGGGACGGTCTGTTACGAGACCAATGCGTCCATGATCCTGTTAGCAACTTAATTAGTTTAGGTGTATCAATGTGACAATCTTTTAGATCTTCTTGAAACGGCGGGTCTCCCAGCTAGAGTTGAGCAGTTAAGACAAGATTTTGTAACCACAGGCTAGGGTATTATGTTCATAATTAAGTATGTAGTTTTGTTGAATTGGTAATTTTAATAGTTGATAGGTTTTGATTTCTCCTTTATCTCCTGTTTTGGAGGATCAGTTCAAATATGGAGTGGTTATTGTTTGCTTGTTCAACCATCAGTTGTACGTTTCCCTATTAGTTTTGTTCCAAAAAAACAAAATCAGTCATTGAGTTTGAAATTTACATGACTCGTTTCTTCAACAGTTGAAGGGCTTGACTTATGCAAGAAGACCAGGGAGACTACATTACCTTCCACAAAGGACATACCAACAGAAATCATAGACTGCTTCCAACAATTAATTTAAAATAAACTTAAGCAAACCAGCCCCTTCCCTTTTCTACTTGTGGCTGACCTATGCAAGATTTATGCAAAGTACTACAAGACTCTAAAAAAGTCGCCCTTT